CGCGTGTTTGCCGGCGTTCTTGGGGCGCTCAACTACACCACCCTGCTGGGCCAGGGTTATACGCTGGGTGCGGGCGGTCAGGCATCCATAGGCAATGCCGGAGGCGGTGCCAACGATGGTTGGCCGACGGGAGGCAACGGGACCAGTACCAACTCCCTCAACTCAGGCGGCGGTGGTGGTGGCAATGGCGGGGCGGGTGGTCAGGGCGGCAACAGCTGGAACAGCAATGCCCTGAGCGCCGTCCTGAACAGCAACCAGTCCGTCACGCAGACCGGCAACATCGCCGGTGGCAAAGGCGGCAATTCGCAGGCACTGGATGCCACAAAACTCACAATGGGCGGCGGCGGGGGTGCCGGTGCAGCGAACAACGCCTCGGCTGATGTGGTAACCACCTTCCCGCCTACCAATACCAGCACAGTCGCCAATGGTGCGTCAGGCGCAATTACCTCAAGCGGCGGGTTGGGAGGGGGCGTTGTACTGATCCGCGCAGGCAGCGTGACTGGTGCCGGTGTCATTGATGTCAGTGGTTACCGCTCTTATAACAAGTCACTGTCAACTGACACCGACTCCGCCGGTGGCGGTGGCGCGGGCGGAGCCATATTTTTCACCGCTGGCTCAGGCACAGGTGCGGGCATCACCCTGCGGGCTAACGGCGGTGCGGGCGGTTCATCAAGCTACTTCAACCACGGCCCCGGCGGCGGCGGTGGCGGCGGCTATATCCTGACCAATCTGACCGCAGCAGCACTGAGCGCTACAGGGGGGGCCAACGGTACAGACGGCTGCTGCGGCGGCATGGCGGGCAACGGCAGCCCCAAGGCCTGGAACTCTGCGCCCGGCAGCGCAGGGGTCACCTCAACCGCTGGTGGCACGGCATCCGGCCTGGGTGGTGGCGGTGGCTCCTGCCTGCCCGTCATCGCAGTTACCAAAACCACCAGCACGCCCAGCATCACGACTGCTATCGGCGCAACGGCAACCTACAGCATCAACCTGAGCAATTCCGGCGGCGGGGCCGCGAGCGTCTACATACTTGACAGGGGCCTGCCGCCCGGTTGGCTGTACACCAGTACGCCGGCGACCACCTACAGCTACAGCCCATCCCCAGGCGCTGGCGGACTGACTGCCGGAGCATCTGGCGCAGAAGTAACGACGACCATTTTGTTGAACCTGCCCGTCGACACCCTCGCCACTGCAAACTCGATCTCGGCGGTCAACCTTCGTGCCGCAGCGACAGCACCAGGCAGCGCCACGACAACTGCGGTCAACACGCCCACCTTCGGCAGTTTTTACCTGGCCAGCGCGGGCAGCGTCACGGTGACGTTTGCCGTGACCATTCCCAATACGGCGACGGTGGGCACTTACCATAATCCGGCAGGTGTCGTCTTTCTGGACCCCACGCGCACCAGTTCTGTTGTACGAATGGTCAGCCCCGCCACAGCGGTCAACGCAAACCGGGCAGGTGCGGCTTACAGCAGCAACACCACCTATGCGAGCGGCGCCACTGCCAATGTGGGCGGCAGCAATTACAGCGGCCTGGCCGCCGGGCCCACGACGGATGACGTCACGCTGCTGCCCGACCTGTCGGTCACCAAAAGCATGAACACCCCGACCTTCACGATAGGAACTGGTTCACTGAGCTATGTCATCGTGGGCCGCAACAACGGCCGTCCCATCGCTGACCAGGTGTATGCCAACACCCAGGCAACTGCGCAGTCGGCGACCACCATCATGTCCACGCCGCTTTCCATAACGGACACGCTGCCAATTGGCATGACGCTGACCTCAGTCGCAAATACGCCGACAGTCTGGACCTGTACGGCCAACGCGACCAGCACCACGTTGACATGCTCCGCCAGTGCAGGGGTCTACCCCATGGCAGCAGCTACCAACCTGGTGACAGTCACCGCCACAGTTGCCGTATCGTCGCTGGCATGTCCCGGCCCTCGCATCAACACGGCCACCTTCACGACTTCACCTTTGGGTGATGCCGTGCCCGGCAACAACACCGGCACCGTTACCACGCCGATCAACTGCAGCGCGAACATGACGGTTGCCAAAGACGATGGCAGGACCACTGTCACAGCGGGCGGCACGACCAGCTATACGGTGACCTTCGCCAATCTCGGCCCCGCAACAGGAGATGGCGCCCTGTTGACGGATACGCCCAGCGCAGGCTTGAGCTGCTCGGTTGCAAGTTGCACGCCGACTGGCGCAGGTGTTTGTCCGGCATCGGGCTTGTGGCCCAACCTGCTGGGTGGGGGCCTCACGCTGCCCGCTTTCGCATCGGGGTCGACACTCACGTTTGTTGTGAGTTGCAACGTCACGGCTACCGGACAGTAGCGACCCTCGACAAGCCGGGGCATGATGACCCTGCCCTTCAACAAGTTCAACGAACCGGTGCAATAGTCCGCACATCGCCCGTGCTTTACACAGCACATCACCGTTCCGGGGTGCATGCTTGTGTTTACACTTCCAGTCAAAATAACAATCGAATAGCCGCCCTCATTGAGGCGACCACTTAAGTATTAACCCGCCAACTGACTGGCCATCCGGATTGATTCAGACTTTCTACCGCCGCTGCCTCATAACGCTTGCGCTGCTTCTTTGCAGCGCCACTACGCTTGCACAGACCTGCGCCCTGCCGGGGTGGAACGGGCCTGCAACAATTACCGGTGGCGTCAACTTCATCAACGCCTACTACGGCGGCAGTGGCAGTCCTGCAGCCGGTGCGAGTACGATCAACATTGTCTCTGCCACAGCGGCGCGAAGCAACAATCACGCGCTTGTGGCGGGCGACATGATCCTCATCATGCAGATGCAGGATTCGACCAACGGCGCAAATGCAGGCAAGCACGAGTATGCGCAGGTCGCGTCCATCACCGGTACCGCCATCACACTGACAAGGCCGCTGACCAACGCTTATGCGCAGGTCATGAATGCCACCAATGTGCGCAACTGGCAGGTGATCTGGGTTCCGCAATATTCAGCGCTCACGGTCACGGGTTCGGTCAAGGCCGACACCTGGACCATCGTGCCAGGCACCGGCGTGGCCACAGGTGGCGTCATCGCCATGGACGTCGCGGGCAGCATGACGCTCAACGGCACCGTTACCGCAGCAGGCCAGGGCTTTCGGGGTGCCTATGCCTTCAACGGTTCGGGCAACATCGCGGCAGGCGCGCCAACCACTGACAACGTGGCCTACAGCACGACCACCGTTGCAGCAAGCATCAATGGCGGCCAAAAGGGAGAAGGCAGCATGGGCACGCCACCCCGGGTCTTCGCGGGCACTGTCCTGCCCGTGACCTACACCGCGCTCCTGAACCAGGGGTACACGCTGGGTGCGGGTGGCCAGGCATCCATAGGCAATGCCGGCGGTGGGTCGAATGACGGGGAGCCCACTGCAAGTGGCAACTCTTATAACTCCGGTGGCGGCGGCGGGGGGAATGCGGGAGCAGGCGGTCGCGGCGGCAACAGCTGGAATGACGGGACCAACACCAATGCGGCCCTCAACCAGGGTACCAACACCAACATCGGCAATGTGGCTGGTGGCGAAGGCGGGAATGTGCAGGCCAATGATGCCAATCGCCTGGTCATGGCGGCGGC